TATTAAGATAACAATAGTAATGTTTAATAGTAATAATAATCATCATCATAATAATCATCATCATCAATAGCAGAAGTTTTGTTGGAAATATGTCTCCTGTTACTGCTAGGCATGTTTTGTATATATAATTAATAATGAGAGCAATTTCTGTTTTATGTGGAGCACACTATTAATGTGCAATGATTACCCATGCTCTGCTCGCATACACAAATACTGAATTAAGCAGACTGTTGTCTGATTGATGTCTATAGTGCATCTGAGTTTAAGTGGTTTCAAAAACCTCCAGAAGCTTCTGTCTGATTGGTCTGAATTCTGTGTGCAGTGCTAGCCATGGGCTTTCCCCCATGGTTTTGGGCAGCTTGCGAATTGTTTGGAAGGATACCAAGAGACAAACAGCCTTTCATTGATGATACAGGGGTTCTTCCTGGTGCCTGTGCCTGTCTGAAGCCATTGACACTGGAATGAACTATTTTTCCAGTTTAAAAGCAAGGTTAGTATTAATGAGTGACAGTTCATGGAATCATTTAGGTTCTGTGAGATCATCAAGTGCAACCTCTGACCCAACACCACGATGTCAACCAGACCATGGCACTGAGTGCCACATTCAGTCATTCCCTGAACACCTCCAGGGATGGTGACACCACCACCTCCCTGGGCAGCCCCTTCCAGTGTCTAATCACCTCTTCCATGAAGGAATTCTTCCTAATGTTCTTAAAACTTCTGAAATCCTGGTAGGTCTGTAAAGCAGATACTGCCAGGCGCTAACTGAGGCGGCTGCTACTGGTGTTCACTGTGTGCATGTTTTTAATGTGGTGTCACATTTATTTAATTAGCTTTAGTTAATAGGAATTCCACCAGCATACTGAGAGAATGTCCTTTTAGTGTTAAGATTGAAAAAAAGGGGGTTAAAAGAAGACTAGATACAGAGTGAAGGGAATGTGGTCAAAATCTGAATTATTATTAATTGGAAAATCTGAATCACCTTTTTAATTTTTTTTCCTCATGTGCCGTCAGTGTTTTTGTGAAGTTATCAGTAGTTATCAGCAGCATATATTGAAACAAGTAATAGTTCTTGAACTCCCATGATCTGATATTTCTTTGTTTCTTCCTAAAGCTGTCAAGAATGCAAATTCACTTGGGTGTTGAGTTGCAGCCACCTGTTGAATAATGTTATCTTCAGACACAACTGCTCTGCTGAAAGTTGGATAATTTAATGAAAGTCAGCTGAAGGCAGATAGTGTCCACACCTCCTCACCCCAAACCATGGGATTTAGGGACTTACTGCAATTCTGCTGTTATTTTGCTGGTTGGATTGAAAAATGTCAACAGGGAATCAACAGTAATTGCATTATAAAGTATTGGGGAAATGTGGTGAGCATACGGTACTGGATTGGGTTTATTATTAAAGGAAGTGCAGCTGCTGGGTCTTCTCTTGCACAGGAGATTTGTTCAAGTGCTCTGGGGCTAAGCTTTTCACAAAGAAGGCAACTTCTTTGTAACTGAAAAGAATAATTTTATTTATTTTTCAAATTTATCAAATTACAATGCATTCTACCTCATAATTGCAAACCTAGAAAACTCAGAGATCCTGAAGAATTGCCCTAAATTTGAAAGAGTTCAGATTCATTTAAAAAAGCAAAACCAACAGTCCCTCTCCAAACCAAAACAAATTTCAGTGGGATGAAAAGAGTGTTTCCTACCTATCTGTATTGTATTCAACTTAAGAAATCATGTGAAATAGTTAGATTTTATGCATTATAAGTAGATTTCTAAATCTCTATCACAGCACTTTTCTGTGGAGGGATTAACAGTGCTTTTTGTGTTGGCGTTCTGTTTTTATTTTTTTACTTCTATTTACTCCTATGGATGTGAATACTTTTCCAAGCTTATATCTTGAACACAGAACTATTCACTTTCCTTTTTTCCCCTTTAAAATGTTGCATTTCTGTGATATATCCTTCATGCACTGTTTCATGAACTTCTTGAAAATTTTAGTCTTTCTCTGTATTTAAGTTGATGGTTTCCTGAAAATTCAGCTTTGTTGCTGTGGGCCTTAAGTTTGACTGTTTAATACCTGGAATGTTTGTGAGCTGTTCTGAAAAAGATCCTTTTCTAAAATTCTTGAGAACTTGGATACCAAATCAGTTGTGCCTGAAGTAGAAGTAAATAGAAAGCATTTTTGATTTTCCAGTGTTTTCCCAGCAGTGGAAAGAGGCTGGTTCTGGGGACAGAAGGAGGGATGTGTGGCTGCACCGCTTGGAGGGAGGTTCTCCATGGGATGTGTGGAGTGATTTCTCTTTGATCCCAGAGGTGACCTGAACTGCAAGTTCAGGCAGCATAAGAAGTTCATTTTCTGGCTTTCAGAAAATGTTTAGAAGCACATAATTTTCTTCAGGTAGATTCCTATGGAGGTTTAGAATCCTTCTTGAGAGCAAAATGGAATTACTTGCAGTAAACTCTAACAGTGGTGGCCAGCTTTAGTGACCTTCTAAGGAAAGCAACCTAAAAACTTGATTACCTTTTGACATAAAGGAGAGAATATTAATTTTTTTTTTTAAAAAAAATGCACATCTCTCAATTCTGAATTAAGAGCTTCCTATACTGTAATGTAGGGAGAGTCTTTGTAGCAGTCAAGTAGAAAGAGAACTAGAAGGATTGATAGCTTCAGAACATGATGAAGTAGAAGACATTTTGAGCTACTTTCCTGGATGTCATTATTTATGAGTGTAGTTGGTAGTGTCAGAGGTCTCAGTCTTTTGTGAACTGGATTCAGAGTTTTAAAAAGTCACCTGTGTTCCCACGGAGAAGCTTGGGGAGCGTACACATAGCAGGGACTGTGTGCTGCTGTAATTCTTTGATACTTCCTTTTCCAGGAAGTCTGGATATCTCTGTTCAGCTTGGTCCTTCTGCCCTTTCTTGCTGTTGGCCTCTGAGCCCCAGGCTGTGGAGGGTGTTTGTGCTCACTGCTGCCCTGGGTGCATTTGTTTGCTGCCTCTTCTTTGTGCCACCTGCCAGCCCTAGAACAACTGGAGGAAGAGGAGATTTGGCAGAGATATGACTCAGGATAAGCAGATAACGTGATAAATTTGACAAGGGGAGAAGTTCTGACACTGAGTCGATGAAGGAGCAGCTCCCTTTATACAGTCACCTACTCCATAGTCACTACTCTCTGTGTAAAGGAGTGGAAATGCTTTGATAGAGGCACAAGGGGATCAGTGGCTGGTGACCCTGTTCAGTTACTGCAGAGAGCTCCTTTTCCTTACAAAAACTGCAGCTGTAGCTGTGTGTGTATTTGTTCCTCAGTTTCTGGCACATCCTAGCTCTGCCTTCTGAGCATCTCTGCAGTTCTCTATAGCATGGTACCTCCTTTGGCATTTAACTCGCTGATCTCACACGCGGAACTCGTAGGTAACCCTGTGTGACTGCAGTTCATCAGCAGGCTGCCCCTGGGAGTCACAGTGTGTGCTGCTTTGGGGGTAAGATTGCTTTTGGGAGTTTTACTCTTTGTAGTTTGTATGTCCATTGTACCAGGAACATCTGTTCCGAGATGATTCCCAAGAGAGTCAAAGAACCTTACGTGTAAATATGCAGAAATTGGAGAAAACGCTTCTTACAAACCCGTCAGATTGGCTCTGCCTAAACGTCTTGTAAGATCTATTGTGGGTTTTAAGATAGCAGCAAACTCAAATTGTAAATTAGCAGGAAGCTTAGAGGAAGCCTATCTTTTTTCACTGTAACACTAATTGATGCTAGCAGACTCAAGTTGTGTCAGACTGAAAATGGTTTTTTATGGTAAAGCCAGGAGAGTAATGTATTCATTGCTGCTGCCTGGGTGTCTGCAGAGGAGGTAACACATATGGACTGCTACTACTGATACATAAATTGGAGTATGATAATATCAGAGTACAGCTTTGAGAATTTGACAAGAAAATGTTTAACAATCTTAATGCTTAATCACAAAATTTGGTGATACAACTTTGGAGAAAAGATGATTCAATTAGATACGATGGGTCAGCTATTAAAAGGTATTTTAAATGGTTGCAAATTTCAACTTTGCCATTGATGGATGGACAGCCTGAAGAAGGAGACACCATGGAGAGCAGCCCTGTGGGAAGGAACCTGGGGGTCACTAAAGCTACAGCTTCTTCATGAGAGGAAGAGGAGGGACAGGCTCTGATCTCTTCTCTCTGGTGACCAGTGACAGGACCTGAAGGAATGGCCTGAAGCTGAGCCAGAGGAGGTTTAGGTTGGATATTAGGGGAAGGTTTCTTCAATATTTACTGCAGGATTTCAGAAGGTGAAGAACAAAATTCCTGTTTGTGCATGCATTCCTGTGCCGTTCAGGATGATGCAGCGCTATAACTGCGGTGTATTTGTGGTGTTTCCAAAATTTATCCATAGCACTGTTGCTTCCAAAAAAAGGAACATGTAAAAGAAGAAGACAGTTGCATCAGAAAATTTATCAGAAATTACCAGCCTTTCTTCACATCTTTCTGTGAGGAAAACCACTGCTGACTTGTCCAAGGAAACCAGTGAGAAATACTGGCAAAGAGCTAGTGTGTTCTGGATTAATCAATCATGTGGAGTTTTAATCTGCAGATTTATTTCAATCTATAGGCTTCTTTTGGAATACTGCTTCTTGAGGAACTTCTACTTTCTCTTTTAAATATCACATTATCTATTATATTAGTCTTTAACTCAGTGCTGTTTGTAGAGAGAGAGAGACCAAAATTATCAATAATCATCTGTCATTTTGAAAACGTGCATGAGAGGTAGGGGCTGGATGCAGCTCATGGCTTCATCTCATGTAGTGCAGATTCCTTGTGTTATTGCTGGAAAATGTTATGATTGTATTTATTATATGACTTGCAAGACACATTTGAGGAGTGTGTTCTGCCTCTTGTGGTGAAAAACTTACTAATATTTGGTATATTTTGAAAATACTCTCAAAAAAACAATTCCACCAGTTTGCCTTTAAGTAACTGAATTTTATCTTTCAGCAGGACCAACAGAAGGTTTGGGAAAAATAATACAAAGATTTCCCCAGAAGGACTGGGAAGACACTCCTTTTCCACAGGGAATAGAGTTGGTAAGTTTACATTACATTCTGCAATTTATAGGATTTCTTTCACGTGCAATTGGAAGATACATCTGCCTTCATATAATGATCTGTATTATTTAACCCAGCAGAGAATGGGTAGAAATTAGTGAGCAGAAGGGATATAGGTTTCAGAACAATAATTTTGGCTAACAGAAGATAATTTGTTTTGCTATGCAGAGCTAAGTAAATATTCCTAGAATATAGAAAATGTCTGCTGCAAATTCATAAACAGTGTGTTTAAAAGAAATGCTTATTTGTGCCCCTGTGTTTTTGTGAGCAGCCTTCAGCTGGCAGATGTCTTATTGTCACATTCAAATAATTACAAACACATGTTTGTATAATGTAGGTTAAAAAAGAAATGAATATCCCAATAAACTGGATTTATTAAAATGGTCAGCAAGGCTGGTGAGCAGGGATCTATTTTAAACAGAGAATTCCCAAGGTGTTGTTGCTTCTTTCTCTTCCTTGGTCTCTTGTGGGATGCAATGAAAAGATGTCTCTCACTCATCTGGATCAGGGATTCACTCAACATCTGTCTCTAAAAATCCTGAAGAGGAATGAAGGACTGGGGTCATATTCTGATATGAGGTTTCTGAGAAGTCAGAGTGAAACTTTTACTGCTGTGAACTTAGCAATTTCTGGGACAGGATAAGCTAGAGGAGGAGATGGGCTGTAGGAAATGTTGCAATAGGAGTCTTTGTACTGTGGGGCAAAATCAGCTGCAGAGGACAAAGACACCGACTCTTCACTGAGTTTATTGCACAGATACAGCAAACAGAGCAGGCTTTTACCAATCTGTACCTTCCAGGCAACCTTCAGCTCCTTGTTCCATGCCATTGCCACGTGCTGTGCTCTCCATGAAGGACAGGAAAGGGGACTCTGGTGTTTGCTGCTCTCCCCCTGATGCAGCAGAGGTGTATTTGCTCCGGCGTACGCGGCTGGGCGCTCGTTTTCTCTGGCTCTGTGGTTTCATTTCTCCACAGCCTGGCATCAGCCTGGGGTTTCAGGGCTTGCTGTGCCCTGACCATTGGGGTGAGCACGATTTCTCCCCCCGTGATGGGGAGTTGCAGCCTCTGTGGGCACTTGCATAACGCCAGGTTTGGCAATGCTGGGCTCTGCTGAAACGGGGGAAGCTCCGAGGTTCCAGCAGGAGGGTTGATCTTGCCTCAAACAACCACAGGGGCTGAGTCATGGTGAGATTTCCTCTGACACACTTTACCTCGTTCAGAGAAAGCAATGGGCCTGACTACCTGTGAAGATGTGAAATAAATAAGCACAGCTTCTCTTCAAGCAGTGAATCTTAATCTGTGCCCAGGTCTTACCTCCCATTTAAGTTGAATTGTAGGAGTGATTTTAGAACTACAAGGAACACCTTTCTAAAGAAAGATTTTTTGTAAAGATTTTTTTTAATGGGACGAAACTTTATTTCTGTATTGGTTCTCAAATGACTCATTAGGCAAAGCCATTAAGACTTAAACTTCCCAAATAAAACAAAATCTGATAATTTAAGAACATCGATTCAGCCAGTTGGCAAAATCAGTCAAGTTTTGATCTGCTTTCCAAGTGTGGTAAATAAAATTTTAGTTAATGAAGATTGAGGAGGTAGAGATACGGCAAAGATCAAGTTCTAAAGTAAATCACTTATGAAAGTCAGATTTTGGCAGGAAGTTTTTTTCAAGATTTTGGATGAGTCCAACTAGAATCAACATTATTTCATGGAAAGGAAAGAAGAAAAGCTGTGTTAATATGTTTGTCACCTTAAGGGCAGATTTAATATCATTAAGGGAGTAATAGGGAAACCTTAAGGAAAAAGAGATGGGGGGGAAAAAGGTAAGAATAGAATAGTTGACAAATGTATATGAGAAAGAAGAGAGACATATTTATCAATAGCACTTAGTTCTATGAGAAGTTTGAGTTAATATCCTCCTTAATATACTTCCTCTTCTTTGAAAGATCTGTATTAAATTGTATGGTATATATATGGTTTATATTTATATGGTATTTCTGTTAAATGGAAAAAAAGGAATGGTTTGTGTCTGAAAAACATGTCAAGCTCTCTTCACTGTGTTCTCATGAAGGAAAAAGTCCAAAGCTTTTTATGCTTTTTGTGCTGTTTGAATCTTGTCTTCTGTCAAAGGTGCTTCTGCTGTGAAAACCTTCAGCTGGTTACTGGTGAACTCAGTGTGCCACTGACTTCTCCCCACTCCTCTCAGCTCTTCTGTAAATTCTTTGCCGGAGAATTTAGCCATTTGTGGGATTTTTCAGATAAGATAGGTTGAGTGGGGTAATTTGTATTGATGTGTAATGGGTGATACATCCACAGATTACAGGATCACAGACCAGCCCAGATTGGAAAGGACCTGGAAATGTGCTTTGGTCCAGCCTTTCATGGGAAAGGAAGCATAGCTGAGATTATCCCACCACCCTGTCCAGTCTCATCTCAGAAACCTCTAGCAGGGAGAAGTCCACTATGTCCCTAAATGATCTAATAGTTTTGTCCTATTCATGTTGTTAATGGCATTTTATGATACAAGACAAGGGGGAAATAGTGGAAAAGACCTCTGCAAACTCCCACCCCTCAAGCTTTAATGCTTTAAGATAGAAAATTCCTTCTGGGAACCCTTGTGTAGCTTGTAGAGATGCCTTTAGTCCAAGCTCCAGCCAAAAACTGATAGACAAAAGTCCTGTGATTTTTTTTTGAGGGCTCTTCTCTTTGCCAGCCCTGCATGCCCCCCATCCTCGTGTGTTTGAATTCATGTGATCAGATTTCTGAGAGGCAATTAAGGCAATGTGAAGAGTGGAGTTGTGGAGGTAATTTTAAAGTTAAATAAGAAAACCACCTCTCTTAATATTTAGGTTTGTTTTTTGAGCCCAGTTTTGATATACACGTACCCATGGGACAGACTGGGCGTACTGGGCCCTTGACTGAGTGAAAAGAGATCATTTTGACAACAGCTTCTCTAGGAATGATGATGCAATTTCACCTTTCACTTTGACTGAATTTGTGGTTTTGGTAATTTGACACAAATATGTAGAGAATTGGGTCATTATAAACTGTAATTGCAGTCTGAGCTTCACTGAAGGGTGTTTTATTTGGTGTGTGTGTGTTCTGGATTAAAGTGGTAAGAGTTACTCAAACTGGGTCTGTTTTTATGTGAGCAGAATGATAACTGTGTTCTGGTCACAAACACATGAGATTGGGAGTAAACACATTGTCCAGAATTCAACAGAAATATACTTTTTTCAGTTTTATTCAAGTCAAGTACTTTAATTTATCTTGTTCAATAAATTGTGTGTCTTCTGGTTGTCAGTGGTGAGCAAAGCCATGAGTCTCTGCTGAGGGAATGATGCTGCCAGGAGGTTTTGGTCAGTGTTTTTTTACACCTCCTACTTGTCTGCATCCCCTGAAGTTACCTGAAGAGATTTTTCTTAACCTTATCCTTTTTGCATTAGCCATTTCACTAAAGACTTCACAGCTTTAAGCTTTGTTCTGTTTTTAACTGAACGTAGAAACTTTGATAAGCCACCTGCAAATTGCTGTGAAACATACCTGAAGTTGTTTGCAATGGATTTTTGATAATTACAGTAGCTGCTGAGAACCTGAAGAGTTCTTTACCATTTGTTAGATTGTGTGATGTAACTGTGAATAAGATATGATATTTCTTAATGTTATATATCATACAAATTGAATGTTATGTGCTGCTTTTCCATTTGCTAGAACCTTTTGTGGGCTATTCAAGAGAAATCTAAGGAACAATTTCAGTTTAGAATCTGAGCATCTTCATTTTACTGACAAATAGCAGTCCATCTGCAATTTATGGACAAATGCAAGTCAGAGTGAGTTTTTTCCAGTTCCATGGAAGTAAGCTGAGTCTGAAGGGTAAAGAGAGATTTAGGCTCATTCTTAATAAAGTATTTGGCTCAGAAAAGCATTTCAGTCATTGGTTTTTGAAAGAATGCAGTTAGAACATACCAATCTGATAGTTGCCCCTTCTGATACTTTAAATGAAGGTGTTTGGGGTATCCTTCTCCATAGTCTATCTATTTCTGAGAAGTTTTCTCAGATGCAGCTTAAGTGTAAAAATAACCTTGTAAAGTTAGCTGAGACATACAGAGCACTGTAAGATTAGGACAATCAAACTTCTTGTTCTTGCTTGTAGAAAGAATGCTTGAGAGTGTATGTTGGTTGAATGAGTTAGATTTACATTTCTGCATATTTTTCTTATTTCTAATCCATTTTTTGTTCCACTGTGTAACTTTCTAGACATCATAATTAGTTATACATCACAGGAAGCTTTGGTATGTGATGTTACACTGTAAAGTCATTTTTGTCCCAGGGCTAAATTAGCTAAACCAAGTGTCATCTGCATTACTCAGTGTTAGGAGGCTGTTCTTAATGAGGCCAGTGAAAGTCATACCCAGAAACAGTTACATTGTCTTGAGTTTAAACTGCTTATGATGTGTTTCTACAGTTTGTGGGTAGCAGGCAAGGAAATTTCCCTCTATAACTGGTGGTGGTGTTAGCAGTAGTGTCATGATTTAGTAATTTGAATTTCAAGTGTGGTCAAGTACAGAAATTAACATCTATTTCTAGACAAGGTAATCACCTGCTCAAATAATGACTTAAATTATAAAATATGTTTTTAATTGGTAAAAAATGCTATTTAATAGAACCATTTGGAGACCATTTACATGCATTTTGACAGTAAGATAGAAGGAAAGGCTGCACATATCCTTTTGGGATCTGGAAGGTTGTCTGCTTCCTTATAATGGAGGAGAGTTGGAGTTGTTGGAATCAGTTTATTCCTCCTTTGTGTACAGCCCTTGCTGTGGAGCTTAGCATTTCTTCCCCTTTGTTTTGCTTCAGACATAAACTCTTAAATGGATGTGGAATATGTCTTTTATGAAAAACTGGATTTAACTTTTGAATTCCAACTAACCTGAGATACAAAAAAACCCAAACAAATGAGAGTAAAAATGGTATTTTC